GGGGGGGGGGGGGGGGGGTAAGTAGACTTTGATCATTTCTGAATACACATTCATATGCAAACACATAATAAACATTACTAAATTAAGATATTATACAAAATATATTTTTTAATATTTATATTTTACAGATAAATATTGTCTAGCACCATGAAATTCCCTCAAAATACAAAATATTAAAGAATAAATATTATTTAAAGAAAATACAGTAAATTAATGTCTGGATTTCATTGCATTAGACAAAGTATTTAAAAATTAAAATAGGGCAATTTCACTTTAACTATGGAAATGTTTCATTAATGAACTTTGTTAAATGTTTTGCTTAAAAAGTGAGCTTGCAGTATATTTCTTTCAAATAATATTCATATTTTGTTATATCAAAGATGTATAATGGCCAAAGTCTTCAGGGAGCTCAAGTTGAGGGTTTGTGAAATTTTGGCTGCCGTACATCCAGTAAAGTAAATAAGCGCAATGACTTAGCAACTGCTTCTGGTGTTGACAAACCACTGCAAATCACCCAGATGGGTTTCAAGCCGGATTAATGTAGTGTTTAGGACATCGAGATGAGACTGAGAACACAATAATGAAGTCTGACACAGAATATAAAAGTGTGTCACACCAATTTCTCTGCAGCAATGACATCAGGTAAAGAAATGGGCCTGGATGATCTCTGAGGTCACACAATTTACACCCAGCTTCCCTCCAGACAAGACACATCATGCTATAGCGTGCATCTAGGATCATTTGTGATGGTGTAAGTCTGTGCTGTCAAAGGTCTGAATGATCCTCTCGCACAAAGAATGACTTGAGATTACGTGGCACGGGTTTGCACCATCTCTCCCTCCGTTTCTTTCATTTTCCTCACCCCTGCTGGGTCGGCAGTGCTGTTGCTCCCTCAGACCCTGGCACAGGTTGTAGGCTTTAAATGGAGAGATTTACCCCCCTGATTTCCCTAGAGAGAAGGCCATCTGCCTACTGTCACCGGGCCCATTATTGTGAGTTCGACTCAGAGCGCATGCTCAACGACGGCATCACAAGGCTAAATGCCACAGGCCAGTGACTCATGTGTGCGCATAGACACAGACCGACAAACAGCATTCATATTTCCTAAATAGATGAATAATAAATAAATAAATACATGTGAGTGGCCCTTGGAAAAAAGTAAATAAAATGTAAACAAAACCGAAATACAAACAAACAAAAAAGACCATTGGAAAGACAAAACTAATAAATGTAAAAACAAATATAAATACATAAAAATAAACAAAAAACAAATAAATGTATGTATGTAAATGGCATGTGGCATATTACATATGTAATATGTATGAGAGGTCCTTGGGGGAAAAAACTAAGTCTAAATGAATGAATGAATGAATGAATGAATTCATTCATTCTAAAAATAAATAAATAAAATGCCTATGCAAAAAGATTACAAATAAAAATAAATAAATAAAAATACAAGTGGCCCTTGCAAAAAAAAGCAAATAATTAAAAAAAACACAGACAATGAATAAATAAATAAATAAGGCCCTTTCAAAAAATAAAAAATAAATAACAAACACATGAATACATAAAATAAATTAAACAAACAAACAAACAAACAAAATAAATAAATGAGTGGCCCTTGCAAAAAACAAATAAATTACAAATATGTAAATACACACACACCCAGAACTGGAGAGGCTCTGCAAGGAGGAATGGCAGAGGATCTCCAAATCCAGGTGTGAAAAACTTGTTGCCTCTTTCCCAAAAAGACTCATGGCTGTATTAGATCAAAAGGGTGCTTCTACTAAATACTGAGCAAAGGGTCTGAATACTTAGGACCATGTGATATTTCAGTTTTTCTTTTTTAATAAATCTGCAAAAATGTCAACAATTCTGTGTTTTTCTGTCAATATGGGGTGCTGAGTGTACATTAATGAGGAAAAAAATTTTTACTTAAATGATTTTAGCAAATGGCTGCAATATAACAAAGAGTGAAAAATTTAAGGGGGTCTGAATACTTTCCGTACCCACTGTATATTAGAAAACAACACTAATAATAGCACAGTAGCTCTGCCAGTACAACTGGATGAGTTATGTATAAATTCCCAGTGTTAAATTATTAAAATGATCTCCAGAGGTGCAATCATCCCCATGCGTTTACCTCAAGGCCATAAAACCCCAACAACAGCCCCTCTGGATGAATGTAAGAGAGTTAGTAGAAGAGTTCACTGGTCTTTTGTTAGTAACAGGAGGGATGAGCTAAGGGTTAATGGGGTTGACCTTCACTCTCTGCATTCAGTGCACTTTTATTGGCCTCTAGACAAATACACAAAGCACCTTAGTGTAATTAACAACACAAACTCCACACATGGGGCTCGTGCAGAATGAATTTCAAGTACTATATCATTACATAAAACATCTACTTCTTGACTCATAACTTAACCAAATTAAATGCACTGAATTAAACATGCAGTGTAATAAAGTCATGTGATGTTTGTAATGTTTATCGTTGCATACTGCAGTTTCACATATATAGAAAATAGCATGCAGTATACAATATTCCACACATAGTCCTGAGGTTTTGCACATCATTTTAGCATTTTATCAACACTACATATACAGTATATTTTGTTTATTTAGTTTTTGTTCATTTGTATTACATATATGTATATACAGCGGATAAAATAAGTATTGAACACATCATCATTTTTTTCAGTAAATATGAAGAATGGGCCAAAATCACACCTGAGCAATGCATACGACTAGTTTCTCCATACAGGAGGCGTCTTGAAACTGTCATTACCAACAAAGGCTTTTGTATGAAGTATTAAATACATTTCAGTAAGCGTGTTCAATACTTTTTCCCTGGGTCATTCCATTTTATTACACAGAACTTAATTTCTGAACTTATTTGTATTGTTTTTTTTGTATGTATG